GGACTGCAGCAATGCTCTGGAGACAGGACCAGTCTGAGCCTGAAGTGAAGGCTTGGAGTAAGGGTGCCTGCTAAGGCAAGTGAAGGAACTGCAGCCCTTTTAGTGGATAAGGGCCTCTAACCTATTCCATCTACTAGAATAATTAACACCCCAAATTCTTTACATGCAGTAGTTGAAACTAAAGTGCATGGCAATTTGATTATCAGGCTTCTCCACAGATATATGTCAAATTGACAAGATGGCTGTTTTGTGCTAATTCTACATCACCCTCTATATGTTACAAAGCCAAGCTAAGTTATCTTTCTTAGGCTATGGTTCCTTTTAAACTTAAATTCAACCCAGCAATACATTTTCTCCTGCCATTTCACTGAGCTTCTGGGCATACTGGCAGTTTCAGTGACAATCATGGAATAAACTGTGATGGGTAGAATTCAATCTGCATTTAATAAAATGCCAGAATGTTGGCTTTGCAAAATACAATTCCTTTCCTGAGCATAAAGATTAGCAGTTCACAATTAGGTCCTCTGTTCCTCGAAAGTAATTTTTTACTATTTTGTTTACAGTTTAGTTAACCTTGACATTAAACAGAAAAAACAAAAGTATTAACAACTGGAACCAATTAATAACTCACACAGCAGCCTGATTTGATAGCTTCAGGGCTGCCTCAACCGATTTCCCCTTTATAAAGCTGAAAATTCACCCCTCAGCAGTCTCCACTAACATCTCATTCCAAAGACACAGGCCACTCTGCCCAACGAAAAGGATAAACTAGCTTAGTCCCGAGCCAAGTCTAATTTTTTTAAGCGTTGCAACAACTTCGGACCTTCAGACTCAATAAATGCAGTGGTTGGCTCAGCCTCAAGGAACTGGAATGTGTCTGAGTCCGAGGGGAAGTCTTAATACTTGAGCAGTACGCCTGACTCAGCCATAAATGGGCAGCCAGCCTTCATCACAATGTGACAGTCAGTCAAAAAGTCCACTTCAGCACAGGAAACTGGCCAATGAGGTCAAGCATGAAAATGGGGTTAGTAGTCTTTCATTTACTCTTAACAGAAATGCAGGCCAGGCAAACCTGTGGGAGGCACTGAAATCCAGTACAAATTCCTTTTTCAGTTCCATATGGGAAGATATGCTTGCCTACACTAATGACACGAGGCTGGCAGTGTTGGGTATTTCCTAAATCTTACCAAAAAAGTTAGTCACTTCTTTGTCTGTGCCATCAGGGCACCTTGCACATTCCCTCCAAGCACTGTCTATCTAAAAATCCTTTCCCTGCTCTATCTCCCTCAAGTCTGGCCACTCTGCCTCCTATTTTCCGAGAGTCCCTAGCAATGAATGATGGATGAGACTGCCTTGCTCACACTTACCACACTGATACCCCTTTGAATCAGTAGTTAGAGTTTGCCCTAACTAATGAAAATTTGAGACACTTTCATATTAACTGGAAACCTCTTTTATAGATTTTTTTTTCCTTCAAAATAGTTTTTTTTTTTCTTTCTTTAGGAGGAAATGGCTAATGTAAATCCAACAGAGAAATGCTTACTGGTTTGAAAGACAGTAATAACATATGTGCTCAATTCACTAAAAAGAAGTGAGTGATAAATTACTGAAAAAAAAAAAACCAAACAAGATTCTTATTTCTTTCTTTTTTTTCTTTTTTTTTAGATTCTTATTTCTTAAATTCCATTAGTACATTTTTTTTTTTTTTTTTTACCTCACCCCACCCCCCAAAAAGTGCACAACAGAAGAAAAACCAGTTAAGCGAAGGTTAGGATAAAAATGAGCCCCAAGTGCCCAGTAAGGTTGCATTAATCCATGAATGACCAATCAAGGTTTTCATGTCATTCTCACAGAAACTGACCAAACTGGGATGCAAGGTATCCATCGTTAAGGGTTGCTAATACCCTAATAGTAAAAGCAGACATCAAAAAGTGCTTATTGCCAAAACCGGTTTGGCTAGAGCGTCGGTCTGCAGACTGGAAGTTCCCAGGTTCAATTCTGGTCAGGGGCATGTATGTTGGTTGCAGGAACATCCACGGTGGAGGGTGTGCAAGAGGCAGCTGGTCGATGTTTCTCTCTCATCGACGTTTCTAGCTCTCTCTCCCTTCCTATCTGTGAAAAATCAATAAAATATATTAAAAAAAAAAAAAAAAAAAAAAAAAAAAGCCTTCTTAATTGCAAACCCAGGGGATTTAAAAAAAAAAAAAAAGTGCTTATTATGTGGCTGAAACTTTTCATATAATCCTTATAATGCATCTATGGGGGGAGAAATGCTGTCATTATCCCCATGGAACAGATGAGGAAACCACAACAGAGAGAGATTAAATAAATAGTCCAAAGTTAATAGCTGTTGAGTGGCAGAACCACGACTGGGCTACTCTCTCTTCGGAACCGCAGCACCGGCTGCCTCACCTAGAGTCCTCTGTGTGCACCAGATGACAAGTAGGGAATCCACAAGCACATACTTAACCCATTATGAAACAAAATCCAGGCCTACCTAAAGAGAAAGCACACTCCAAATAAACGAAAGCAAACCTATGTTTTCAAGATGATAAACTTACCAAGCAGATGTACCCCTCATTCCTCAAATCCTGGTGATATGATAGAAATTTTTAAAGAAAGAGAATAAACCATAATGATGCAAGACAACAGGCAGAAATAACTATCAGATAGAAATGGGAGGATGGAGAATATTCAAAACTGAAAACAGGAATGAAAGAGGTCTGCTACAAAGATGAGAACTATTCCTCCTGATAAAATCAAGTGCAGCAGAAATGCAAATCTTTGAGTTAAAAAGCATATGGACTGGCTTCTGGGGTTATCATCAGCACTGCTACAGCACTAGTACCTAGCACCAGCTCTCTCTATAGGAGAGGTAATCTCCAAGCCTGGGCTTTGGGGCAGAGTGGAGTCTATATCTAGGCCTTCCCAAGAAACACAGAAGGAAAAACCAGTAAAGGCACTCCTACCCAGGCTGCAACACTGTGAGTGCCCTCATGTGCTCCGTGCCAAAAGCAAACCCTCCTGTGGATTTGTGAGGACTCCAGCCTGCTACCCACCCTCACCCTCCAGACTCTGAGCAGCCTGCTTGTGAGCATGCCCTGCTCTGCACAGCCCTATAGGGAGCCCTTACAATTAGGGAAGAGGCCTACTGCTAAAATAGAATTCCAATACTTTTGAGGAAACCTGGTGCAATTAACCCAATTCTCTATTTATAAATGTTTGGATCACTAAGGATCAAAACAACATAAAACTCAAACTTAAGATGAAAGAAAACAATCAAAGTTAACAGAAAAATTTGACATTGGAATTACAACGCATTCTTAGTTAGCTGTACCAATGGAGTACTTAAAGCACAAGAAACCTTATAATTATTTATGGCCAGCACTGAAAATGGTTTCAGATTTGTATTACCCAAAGAAAACTCTCCATAGACTGATATTTAAATGAACGTTTATTCTCTAAGGATATATGCACTGAGATAAAAATCCTGACCCTAGCTCTAAGGCCAATATTTATGAAGGCTAGGGAAAATAACCACTTTTCTGTCTTAATTTTCCTATATATTAAGTGCGAACAATGTTTTTTGTCCCTTCTACCTCAAAGAGCTGGTTTAATAATCAAAAGAGAAAAAAGTATGCTTAAAATTTATTTTGGCTCTAGCTGGTTTGTGGTTTGGCTCAGTGAATAGTGCATTGGCCTGAGGACTAAAGGATTCCAGTCAGGGGCACATGCCCGGGTAGTGGATTCCAACCCCAGTAGGAGACGTGCAGGAGGCAGCTGATCAATGATTCTCATCATTAACGTTTCTATCTCTCTTTCCCTCTCTGAAATCAATAAAAATATATATGTATTTTTAAAATTTGTTTTGGAAAGTAAAAGGCACCACACAAATACAAGGTAAGGCTGTTGACTGAAAACAGGCTACTGACTTGGGAGCAGATGGCACCAGCTTTGGCTGAAAAGTTTACATACAGGAAGTCGAGAAAAAGGCCTCTGCTTTTGTTAACTGATGGAAAAAAACACTCTGAAGCCTATAGTCTAAAGTAAGACTCACTGAACAAACAATGCTAGGACTTGAACCATTAATTCTAGAGAACCAAGGAATATGGTCAGCAATTTAGTCATTTGAGGGAACTACTCACCAAGAGATGACCTCATATATAGCTCCAAACAGTCAGACTTATATAAGTTTGTAGACAGAGAAGTTTGAATGAGACATAGGAAGCTTGAATAAGACAGACTTCCTTAGCAATGAGGTGTAGGTATTTACTAAATATATATTTATTAAATAACCACCCCATTCCAAATGTTGAACCAAGCAATTTGCTGCACTAACAAGTCCAGACCATACTCAAAAGCGACAAAGACTAGTAAACACATTCACAGTCACTAACTGGCAAACAGTCCCTAATGGTGGTGAATAGTCACTGCTAAACCAAAATGACAAGAAATCAAGCACCTTAAATCACATAATACCAGAAAAAAAAGAAAGATTCCACAGTGCTTTTCAAGTTGATGTTTTAATAGGGCTCTTCCAAAATGTTATTAACTTATTTGTTAAAAATGTTTTCTAGTAAAAGAAATAAGCAATACAGTAACCAAATATCTGGACCATACTTGGATTGATTCAAATCAATCATGAAAATTAAATTTATGTAACAATTCTGAAAATGTAAACACTAGCTAGATATCTGATGGTAATAAAATATAATTATTATATGGGTTATTTTTAAAAGACCAAAATGGTAGTCCTTACCTTTTAGAAAGAGATACTACAGTATTTGCTGATGAAATGATATGTCTAGGAATTACATTAAAATAATATGGGGAAGTGAGTTGGAGTATAAATGAAAGCTTAGCCATGTGTTGATATTGTTGAAGCTGGGTGTTGGATTCATGACAGTAATTATACTATTTTCTCTACTTTTATACACAGTTGAAGTTTTCATAGTAAAAAAATGCTTTAAGTATACAAATCAAAGGTGGCTCATTCTTACCTCTGCTAGAATCTTTTACTACAATGTCAGAGATTTCAAACAGCTTCAGAGGAAGAGGCATCTTCCGATTCGCTGCTATGGTCTTTAGGATGCCAGGAAGAAGGGTAGTGCGCGCCACCTACAGGAGAGGATACAAAATTGCACTGACCAAAGAGGAACCAAACATACATACAGTACTTCCCCCTTATCGTCAGGAGATAGACAGGCTGCAAGAACTTCAGTGGATGCCTGAAACCACAGGTGGTAAAGACATACATACTGTGATTTTTAAAATTAAAATCTTGAAGAGTTCAAACATGCAAATTTTCATATTCTGCCTTATTTTGAAAGTTGAAGTAGATTGTAATAAATAGAAATACAGGATGGGGCAAAGGTAGATTTACAGTTGTTCATATGAAAATACAATAATTAATAAGTAATACAAGAATAAACTTTATGTTTCACATACAACTGTAAACCTACCTTTGCCCCCACCCTATATTCAAATAGATTAAATATGAATTAATCAAAATTTTAAAAACCAGGACCAGGGAAAATATAAATGCAATTAAAACACCAAGATAATGAGGAAAACAACACAAATATGTAGGTTCTAAAAAAAAAACAAAAACCTATGCAGCTGCTATGGGCAGGCTATGACTACAGTTTCCAGCTGAGTAGCCAAAGAAGTACAAATAAACGTCCCAGTTCTTTAAAACAAACATACATAAAACTGCAAATCTTCCCTGCTTTTTTTCTGTGAAATTTCTCACTCTAAGATACATGAGGTGTGTCAGCTGTCAAGACATCACGTTCCTGGCAGGTTTTACACGCAGGGGTACAACAGCATGATTGAGAATCTCGGCTCTGCAGATTCCAAAACCATTACTTTAGGCCCACACTCTTACACGAGCTTCTTAGGCTGGGTTTCTCTGCTTCCATTCCTGCCATCTTATCGTCTATTCAACAGAGTGATCCCTTAAGACCTAAATTAGATCACGAAACTTACCCTGCTCAAAAATCTCCAACGGCTTTCCATCAAGTTTTGAGTAAAACCCAGGTCCTACATGGAGCCTCTCTCTCACCTCAATGCCTGCTGTCCCCTGGCTTCCTGTGCTCCAGCCACACATCTCAGAGCTCCCCACTGGCTCTTTCCTCTGCCTGGTATTCTTCCCATAGACCCAAATGTGGCTACCTTCTGTCTTCAAATCTCTGCGCAGAGGCCCTCTCCCACAGAGGCCTGCCCTGACCACCCTAGCTAAAATAGCAGCCTCTCCTAGATCCTGCACAAGGAAGTGTAAGCCCCTAAAAGGACTTGCTAGATTGTGAGATGGGCTCATTCACCTGAAACTTGCTGCTTTTTTAAATATCATTCACTTCCCCAAATCATACAAACAAAACTATAATGTTAAAAGAAAACTTATTGGAATAGAAACAAGTAACTTCATAGTAACTTTTCTTAGTGTTTCTCATTTTATTTTATAGATAAGCCTTATTTGCTTATTTAAAAACCCACACTAATATAAAACACACACACATACACAAACAAACTTGGATGTGATCAAGCTTCTACATCTAACTACCAATTTATTGGAAATACTAGAGGCCCGGTGATTTCCTCTATGCCTAGTTAAAAAATATCATACAGAATTCCAAATGCAAGAAAAATAGAAGAGCTTATTAGTATGAAAGAGATGAGACTATTTGAAGTCACTAATAAGCAAAGATATTACCTTGAAATGTTCTTTACATTTAATGTCCTAATTATAATGTAAGTCATTTATCATTCTCTATTCCTAAACACTAAATGAAACTGGCAATAAATTAGATACTTACATTGGAAGACACAGGTGGCATAGTCAAGAACTGATATAATGACTAATTTAAAAGTGACTTAAGAGTAATACTGTGAATAGGTGTTGACTCTTTTATTACAAACTAGAGACCAGGTGCACGAAATTCATGCGCTGGAGGGTGAGATGTCCCCCAGCCTGACCTGTGCCCTCTCACAGTACAGGAGCCCCATGATCTATTTCTCCAAAGAGGCAGGCCTACCCACCCATCCAGGGCTCCTCGGTGGATTGCCTAAAACAGGTAAACCAGAGCCAGGGGTGCTGCAGTGGGGGAGTCCCAGCCCCGCAACTCTGCGCTGAGCCAAGACTCGCCCCTGTGCCATGCAGCCTCTTGGTGATGTATTGTTATGACATGACAACATGAGGACATCAGTGTGAAGGCATGATGACCACATAGGCTTTTATTAGTATAGATAGGTGAAAAAGAGATGAAATATGAAAATAATACTAAAAACAATTATAAAATGGAAAGTTCAGATAAGACTGAATTAGGCAGCACATAGCAAAGAACTAGCTACAAAGTTAATCAAAAAAAGATTTTAAAATTTTAAGAATTTTTGTCAGTAAAGTAAGAACAATAACTTATCCAAGAAATTTTTTTTCAGTATCATATGAGGTATAATAATACCTGAAAAAACTTTTCATAACTTATGTACTTTCTCTGCTGAAAATTCTTACCTGAAACTCAGCTGTTTTAGGATTACTTATATGGACTGCATTTGTTGCAGAGATATCCAAACCAAGTTTATCAGCAATATCTTCCTGGGAGCACTAAAAAATACATACAAAATAGATCAATATGGAAAAGTGACCACCTAATTTAATATGAAATGTATCAAATGCTATGTCAACTTATTGTTTTATAACAATGTTAATTCTCTATATAAATCCATGAGTTAAAATTAAGCTAAGAATAAACATTTATCAAATAACTGAGGCCCACAGCAGATGAAATTTAACATCAATAGTTCTCCTAGGACGAGTTCTAGTGGTGATACAGAGCTAAAATAAATTTTCACACGGAGATGGTGGTATACTCTGTACTGGGGTTATTCCTAAGCTAGGCTCCCATTTGCCTTACCAGGGGATGGGGATTTCCTCCTTTGTAATAAAATTAACTTACTGATTTTTGCCCTTAGGAACATGTTCAAATACAAAGAATACATTTAATGTGGAAAAGTCCCCAAACCCTTAACCAGGACAGCACAGCCAAATTAAGACTAAAAATTCTAACTTAATAAATTCGGTTCTGAATTCATTGTGAACCATCAACACTCACATGAAACTATAGAATACATTATGACCTGTTACTGAAGATTTTTCTTAGTTCCTCATGTTTTTCTGTGACCAGAAACAGAAATCTCCCAACATTTCTTTCTGAGAAAGTTGTACCATCTCAAATAATAAAGTTACTCTTTTAAAGGCTGGAAATTTGGGTAATCTAGATTTTATAAATTTATATAAGGAATCCTAAAACCAACAATTCAGTTTCAAAGTCAACAGTCAGCTGAGCAGAGAGCATGTAAACATACCAGAGCAAACGTAAGTGATTCCGTGAAGCCAGCAGCTGCCATATCATGTCGTAGAAGTTCCGTGAGCTTGTTAAGGGGAAACTGGGGGAGAAAATTTAATTCATCTCAATAAAATTTGGTATTTTTAAAAAGGAGATTTATAAGAACACCATTAAAAAGAAACCACCCTTCCATCCTTACTAATATGCTGCTGACGCCACCCCTCCTTCACCCCCCTCACCACCCCAATATACCTTCACAGACGTACAAAACCCCACTTTACCTCTTACACAGAGCTGCTGCCTCCAGGTCCAGGCTGAGAAAATGAATTTCCCAGTTAGAGATTCAACAAGGGCTCTACCAATACACTCAAAACCTGCCTTTCTTCAAAGAACTGGTCATCACAGGTTTTCAACTTACTCTAATCAATTGAGCATCTGTTTTGTATCCTCTCCATAAGCAAATGCCTCATAGCACAGCACATCCAAATACTGCTTAATTCCTATGTTCTGGCATTCAACAATCGGTTTCTAACCATAACAAGTGTTTATTTACAGGTGCAATCTTACTTGATTAGCTATGGTGTATGTTTTCGGGAGAGCCATCTGAATGTTGTTATATCCATAGGCAATAGCTGCATCTTCTACAATATCACATGCATGGATAACGTCAGCTCTGGTTGGAGGGATTTCAATCTCAATCTGATTCCCGTCGCCAATGACTTCTGACTTTAGGAACATCCTAGTCAAAAGCTTAGCAATATTTTCTGGTGTTTCTCTGAAATAGGAATGTACAAACAACAAACTTGACTGCATTATTTAAAACATGTTTCTATTTTATTTTAAACATAAATATTTCTTCCTCAATCCTAACAGACAGACACTTCATTTACTCTGAAAGGGTATCAAAACTCTCCCAGCATTCTTTCAGGAAAAATTATATAGTGTTGTGTGCACTTCATGCTTGAATTCTCTCCAACAATAAATAAATGACGTTTTCAGAGCATACCTGATTCCAACTTTTTTGTTAATGAGTTCAGCTCTCACCATCTCCTTTCGGTAAGCCAGTTCCTTAAAGAGAGAAAGAGTTTGAGAAGCTTAAATCATCCCCAGAAGATGCAGCCTTAGCCATTTTCTATTTCAACTTGCTGTTGTTACCGTTTCATTTTCCTTCCAAGAAACTGTCACTAGAGTCACATGCTGAAAATACTTGGTGTTTCAAAACATTATGGAGGAACAAAACCTGCTACTGAGTTACTGAAGCTGCTCACAAAGAACACCAAATGCCAAAAACCATATTCTCTTTTAGAGGGTCAGTCACCATTTTTTTCAACAAAACACTGGTGTATTTATCATTTCTAACATGCTATGAATCCTGATGAAGATTTTTAGTCTCACCTTGGGCAAGTAGTTTATGACCAAGAAAGAGTAATTCATGTACCACAATGTTCTCTCCCTTCCTGAGTCCAGGAGTGTTAGGAGACATTGCTTTCCTATCAGCTTCCAGGTGGGGAAATGAAGCCGTGCCCTAGTGCCAGCTCTCACGCTGCTCCAGGAGCCAGCACTACCAGAGCATCTCATGAACTGGTAATTTGTCATCTCCAAACTGTACATAACTCTACATGGTAGGCAGGAACAAACATGCATAAAAAAAATGCAGGCTTTTCAGCAACTCTGGAAACACATCTATGAATATTTCTTATCACTAAATTACTCTCAAGATGTATAACTGCCATTAGGAAAAGGCCATAAATTTTAAGACTTGTTTGGACTCAGGTAAGGACAATGACCCAGAGCCCTGCTATTCCAAACACAGTTTTGGGCAGAAGCATCAGCACCACCTGAGAGCTCATTAGAGTGGCAAATTCCGGGCCCTCAGAATCAGGGCAGGCATACCAGACTACCTGAGTCAGAGTTGGAATGTTCTCAAGATCCCTAGCTGAGTGCACATTAGAGTTTGAGAAGCACTTATAACAGACACTATTAGAATACACATTTTACAGATAAGGAATAAGAGTTTGATATTAATAACTAGTTCCAGGTCACAATGATGTTAGACTGCTTAATCCTAGCACTGGCTATATTCCCTGTGCTTGGGAAAATGCTTTTTAGATAATAAGCACTCAGTACAGTTAATAAGTATATGCATGCATAAAGTAACCAATGAATTAATAAACAAATTCAGGTAGCTTCATTCCAAAGCTCACAGCATTAACCATTAATTAGTCTCTCTATTCTCTTTTTCTCCTCTAGTTCTCTTATTCCAAACTCTATTCTTTTGTATAAAACTAGAGACCTGGTGCACAAAATCTGTGAACTCAGGGGGTGGGAGGGCCTTCCTCCTCTTGCAGTTCAGGAACCCTTGGGGGATGTCTGACTGACAGCTTAGGCCAGCTCCCCGGGGGCCTAAGCCGGTGGTTGGACATCCTTAGCACTGTCATAGAGGCAGGAGAGGCTCCTGCCACTGCTGCTGTGCTCGCCAGCTGTGAGTCCGGCTTTTGACTGAGTGGCGCTCCCCCTGTGGGATCCGGCCGAAACCAGCTCTCTGACATCCCCAAATTGTGAGAAGGCGCAGATCAGGCCAACGGACCCCACTGGTGCACTATTGGGGCCAGGGAGAGACACGGGCTGTTGGCCAGCTGGGGAGGGACTATAGGAACAATCCAGGATGTGTATGGCCTGTCTCACTCAGTCCCAATTGACTGAACTCCAGCATCAAGCTAACCTACCAGTTGGAGCATCTGTCCCCTGGTGGTCAGTGCATGTCACAGCGAGCAGTTGAGCAGCTGTAGCAAATCATTAGCATATTATGCTTTGATTGGTTGAACTGCGGACCAGTCAACTGGACACTTCACATATTAGGTTTTTATTATATAGAATAATAGAAGACAAGGAAACATTTTCAAAGTGTTTGGAAAACTCTGCTATATCATGTGAGGAAGAATTAGTTTCTCTCAGAGGCTCATTCTTTTCTGGGAGAACAATCTGTCCTAGTCTAAATTTACAAAGAAGTGAATAAATAAATGATGAAACACTGGCATAGCACTCCTTTTAAAAAAAGCCCACCATTTCACATTTATGAAAGCTCTAAATAAATAAATGATTTCAAGGAATTAGCTGTATGAGAAAAGTAAACAAAATTTTAAGATGTATTTCTCTTTTTCTTCCCGAAAGTACATATTTCACTTTTATTAACACTTGACAATGCTTCATATTAAAAAAAAAACTTTTTCAAATAAAACATTATTTTAAGACAGACAGTAAAGGCTTCTCTAGCTAATCCCAAATACTACTGTGGTAGATTGTATAAGTGGCCACATTCTTACAGTCTCCATGGCCTTGGAGTCTACTTCCCCCCTTTCGATCCAGCAATATTCCTGGTTCTGCTTAAAGGCACCTGAGCACCAGAGATGCTCTCTTGCTGCTGGGAATCCTGCACCACCATCAGCTGGATGATAAACTTGACCTGCTGATCCCACAGCCAGAACTGACACGTGAGAGGCCATCCCAGGTCATCCAGCTGTTAGCCTTCCAACCAGGGGCTACACAGGACTGAGCCCAGCAGAGATGAGCCAAATGGAGCCAGACCAGAAAAACTACCCAGTTGACCCAATAGAATCATGACATAAACAAATCCTTGTTATTATTTTAAGTCACTAAGTCTTTGGATGGTTTATCACATAACAATAGCTAACTGTTAACAACTACTAAAATAATAAAAAATAAAAAGAGAGAGAGAGACCGCCTATAATTTCAGTCATACTTTATACAGTTATACATTTATTTTGAATTATAACTAACATTCTAGAAAAAAAAGATGATACTATATACTATAAGGAAGGGGAGATTTTTTTGATCTTGGCAGGAATGATCTACTTTAAAAGCTATTTTAATAGCAGAAACCACCCTGTCATTTATGAAGATTCACTTCATAAATGACAGGGGAATGGAAAAAAAAAAAAAAAAAAAAAAAAACACACACACACAAAAATAAAAAACTGCTTATCAAAGAATGGCCTCACTTAGAACTATAACAAAATGACTGAGAGATGTTTAGACATGAAAGAATAGCATGTATTAGACATGACATCTTTATATAGCCCTCGTGGGGGGGAAAAGCCCCAAATTAAAAATAATGCTGGTTTTTTTTTTTTTTTATTTGCAGTGATGAAGTGTGAAGAGACTAATCAGGTTGGGAGGGTTGAGTAATCTTAAAAGGGGCGAGACTAGAAATTACTCACTAAACTAGTTAATACAAGAATAAATCACAGAAATTATGGCCAAATAATGAGGTATAATACAGTGTGTTAAGGGCTAAAGTGGCTTAAATTCTGGCCCCACATAACAGGCAAACTATTTAATGTCTCACGGTTTCTGATCTCCATCTAGAAAAGGGCATGATAATAGCACCCACTCTCAGAGGGTTAATGTGAGGATTACATCCATGTAATGCACGTAGTATAGTTCCTGGCATGTGGGTGGATGGACAGATAAACAGGCAGCACTACACAGCCATTACCATATCATTATCACATCATCAAGTCACTTAAGTACTTACTGGAAAGGTATGTGATTTTCCATTAGGAAAAACTACCTCAGCTGCTTCAACCCTGAAAAAAAAAAATAAAATACTTAACAAAGATCCATAAATTCTAGAAATGTACATGTTAACAAATCTTTCACTTGGTCTACAACTGTAGCCTCCATATATTGAAACTATTCACATTCCAACACTTTTTTGGATTAATCCTCCTAAATACAACCTTACTCTACTATTCTCTCTCCTATACTTCCTATGTCCTGTAGAGCATTCACCCTCTATGGACTCCTTGCCAATACTGACACACACAGTCCAGGCTTTATCAGGGTGGTGTGTTACACAGCGAAAGCTGACTGACATAACCACTAAAATCAATGTTGAAACAAAGTAACTGGTACTACTCATACAATTTCAGTCCTACATTTTGAATTATAATCAATAGTCTAGACTGAACTGTGATGTTGGCACACAGTAAGGGCCATATAAGTTTATTAAATATTTTTAATTTAAAAAACAGCTTTGAAAAAATTACAATAATCTTACTGCTATATACATGGGACATAGGACTGTTCTGATATATACTTCTCTATCTCTGTCTGGCTGTTCCTCTTGCTATTCCTTCATGTTAACATTCTCAAATTCAATGATCCTTAAACATAGCTTAAATTTCATTGCCTCCACGAGGCCTGCCCACACTGCCTCAGCTAGGAGTAACTTGCCCTTACAAAGAGCCAAAACATCACTGAAAATTATTAACAGCACTTATCACTGTTTATTTTACACAATACTTATGCATATGTCTTAGCTCCCAAAGAGATTACTGTTCTAATTACAGGAACACATTTTTCATCTTTATATTTAGCACAGGCCTTCGTGCTGTGCCTTCAGAAGAAACAAAGGGGATCTAAAGGCACCAACTGAACTTACGTAAATTGATTCTCACAATATTCACTGAACATGGTGACAATAATATCAAGAACTATTTTTGCCTGCAAAGAAAAAAGACAAATATTATGGTAATCTATAAATATAGGTATTTTCTCTTCACTCAGAAATGAATATTTAATATAATTTAGTTCCCAAATATCTAAAAATGAATCTCTATACAAACATTGTAAAAGGAAGAATGGAATAAACACTTATGAGCTAAATTAGGCCTGTCCTTATGTTCAAGTGTTTAGCATTTATGCTGTTTTCTGAAAAGTACAATCCATGACTGAGACACATTTATTTCTCCCACCTCTCCCTTGGATTCACCACATTTTGAGAGTGACAAATGGTTAACTACAGATCAACACCATAGTCTCTGCCACCAGATGCCCTACTCCTGCCTTCACTACTTAGTCTGGGCAAGTTACTTACTGTCTTTGTCCCTTGGTTTTGTCATCTGTTAAATGGAGATAATTAAAGTTCCTACCTCATTTGGTTATTATAAGGAGTGTGTGCGTGTGTGTATTACACAGAAAGCAATGCTTGATACACTGTAGTGAATGCCATGTAACTGAAAAAGTATGCTTAGAAAAAATACAATAACCTTATTAGGATATATGCTTTGCTTTTAAATATACTTCACTCTTATATACAAACTTCAAGAAAGATATCCAAGGTCTGCTAATGTATGAATTTAAAAATGTTAATATGATAATACTATACTACTCCTCAAGGCAAATATGGTTCATAAGTTATAAATGAAATACCTTACAATGATCTCCATAAATGTACATGAATACCACTTACCTGCCTTCAACACCTCAGCCTTCTCCTTCCTTCCAAGCTTACCTTTCTTAAGTTGCTTAATTGCCATCTCACTCTACACTTTACTTAATATGAATAAAGAAATCATATGCCATAGCATAAAGCTTTCATAGCAATCTAATCTAATATATGTAGTGGTTGAAAGTAAGTACACAACTAGTATTCTACATATTCTGGATATCATTATGTGCATAAACACTTTATTAACTGCTGAACAGAATTTCTTTATAACCAGTTCATTTTTAAAGAATTTCAATACATAATGGTACCAAATTACCCAACATTTTAATTAAGCCAGCTAAGGTAAACAATTTATACAGATCATATTACAATAGTTAGTCTGTTCTGTTTTACAGTTAGGTGGTTAATTCTCCCATAACAAGTTCCTTCAAGTCAAGGAACATATAACCAATTCTTGGCACTGAAAAGACAGTACAGGTGCTCACTAAACATTTTTCAATTGAATGAAAGCACTATAGCTGAAGTATAGAATATATATTTCTAACTTTATAAAATATGTTCCCACCTTCCAAATAAAACTTATTTTTAAATTTAGCCATATAGGCTTGACCCAGAAGCAAAAATCTATCCTGACAGTACAAAAATAGAAAAAAGTTTCATTTACCTTAGTAAAGTCAGTTCCTGTGCATTCGATAAATACATTTCTAGTATTTATTGTTATTTTGGAATGGTTTCCTACAATGAACACAAATTAACAACAACAAGACAATCGGTTTCAGAAATATAAGTGCACAAAAAGCTCCACAAAACAAAAACTACATCTTAATTTAGAACACAACATAAACTAACATCTCAACAGAAGGGGATATACAATTTTTATTTAAGCTCCATTGGAGAATAAAGACAAAATAGTACCAGGCCTTACTGAGTGTATTCAATGGGTTAGGAGCAGAGGTTGTCTCATCTCATCTTCACCACAACTGTATTACAGAGTTGCAGAGAGACAACTAAGATTGAGAGATAAAGCTCACTGACTATAATCACAAAGTAGTAAGTAGCAGGGCTAAGATTTGGGTCTGGATCTGGCTAACTCTGGAGCCCAGATTCTTAACTACTGTAATTACTGGAGTCCAAGCTTTAGAGAAGGCAAAGACTCTCCTACCTAGTGTGAATTGGAAAAGAAAAGCAAACATCTATGGCTTCAACATCATTAAATTTTGTAGTTACATTCAAGTTGTCTCATCAAAAAAGCCTTCAGAAGAGTTAAGAGGGTAAAATTCAGTTTAAAAGTTTTAGTTTAACTATAAAACAGACAAAAGCAGAATTCAACTTTGAGTTTAACCAAGTAAATTACTTAAGAAAAAAAAAAAATCTAGAGAAAAGCATTCAAAAATATTTCTAATCCAGCCAGCATGGCTCAGTGGTTGAGCATTGACCTTTGAAGCAGGAAGCCATGGTCCCATTCCTGATCAGGGCACATGCCCAAGTTATGGGCTCATCCCCAGTGTGGGGCATTCAGGAGGCAGCCAATCAATGATTCTCTCTCATCACTGATGTTTCTATCTCTCCCTCCCTCTCCCTTTCTCTCTAAAATAAAAATATATGTATTTTTTAAAAGAATACTAGACATTTATAAATTGTATAAAAATCCCAAGTAAGATATTGTTGAATGATGAATGGAAAGAACTATTACAAAAAAAGAAAAAAAAAAAAATCTACCAGAAACCTAAGATTCTCAGATTAAGAGTTAATTTGATTTGATTCAGCCAACTCTATTGAGAATTCTACAGAAACACTGAAGAATAAGAAAAGACAGTAAAAATCAATGATGTTTAAGAAATAGCTCACCATTGATGATTGGAGGCATTGATAGGACAACACCATTGCTATCATAGATAACTGGGTACAAGGGCTTATTTTCAATGATATGTAAGTACTGTTTAAGATGGTTGTCAGTCTGAAAAAAATTAAGTCAAACAAAATTAGTTTTTTATTTCTATCAATGTTACACACCTACCTAGTGTAAAAAGGAGAAAAGTCAGAAAAACAATAAAAGTGCCCTAGATTATAGAAAGTTCTAAGTTTTTAAAGGTGCTAATATAAATTAGCACCTTTATACAGCCTCATCTCCCACTGGGAAGAGACGAAAACACAATTGAGCCATTTCAACAGTGAAAACAAATTCCCACTGGTAAGCCTGAGTCATCTAAAATAAAACTACTTAACTTGATCCGGGGTAGTGAACACTCACTATAGTGTACAGATGATGTATTGTAGAATTGTGCTCCTGAAACCTGTATAATTTTGTTAAGCAGTGTCACCCTAATAAATGTAATAAAAAGGGAAAATTATTTAAATAAATCAGAGAAATCACTAGCAAATCAGGCCAAGGATAATAGTTGCTTTTTTTCTAACAATATCCACTACTCCTCTTAAAGTGACTACTGAATTCCTTGTCACTGCTATAAGATAAAATGATAATAATGGGAGGCAAAGATTTTGTAATATTTCCCAAACACATAAAAAAAAAAAAAAAACACTAACTAAAATTTATTGTTCCTTCTATTAATACTTACATGAGTTTAATTATACCCAAATATGAATATTACATTGTGGTATGGTCTACTTTAGTGATTCTCAACCTACGTGCAAATTAAAATCATCCAAGTGGATAAAAGAGTAATAATAAAACAAAACTATGCCCAGTACCCCTCCTCTAGATCAAAAAATCAGTATCTCTGTGTTGGGGCCCAGACATTGCTGGTTGTTTTTTGTTAAAGCACTCAATACATTTTTTGAATTCCAAGATTTAACTTTGAAGGAATTTCAAGATTTATGCAGAGCTATTACATAATATAGAAGAACATTTACCTTGTACATATTCATCAGTTCACAGGCTGTATACTCCTTTGTCTTATTTAGAGGTTTGAATTTGATATCTGAAGGTCGCTTCGCAGTGTAAGTAAATGGGCCTGACAAAGTGTCCAAATCATGGGTACCGATAGCAACCAATGCTCTTTTCCTAAATGTTGAAAGAGGGAAAGAGAAAAGGAAAAAGATGGAAAAAGAAATTTGAATATTCCACAGAAATTCTAAAGGTAACATAGACTATATGTGTTTTTTAATTATTTTTAGACACTTCCCTAAAATTTCCTGTTGCTTTATAGCAACTTTAGAGGAATATAAGGAATAAATTCAAACAACTATTAAAAATAATGAGAAATTATAAAGCTACTAACAAAACATTATTTCAGTAGCTGAAGTAAATTCCTTGCCACTATGCTTTCCCAAGAAAACTATATTTCCCACTATATTTTCCAAATCAACATTCCCTCTATCTTCTTTGAATCTCATTTCCTAAAGTAAGCATGTTTTAATAAATTAGAGTAAACTACCAAATTGCTGTATTTACTTTTCTATGTTAATACATTGTACATTAATACATTCTATATTAATAGAGAAAATTTAATTTAAAAGACAATTTACACTTCAAGTTTAATGTGTAGAGGAAGTTCAAAAGCTACTGATTTCATTTGTTCTACAGTTTAACTACAAAGGATTTAAGGTAATTTTAGGAACTTATAATAAGTTACAAATTAAAAAAGAAACAGAAGTAGGATATCAAATAGATCCAGGAACAATGTCAATATCAAATTAGAATCTAAAGCCCACCATCTTACCAAGGAAGGTCACAAATTTGGCTCTAAGCTTTCTTTTCTTCTTCTTTTTTTTTAAATGTTTTTATTGATTTATTGATTAATTTCTTTTTCTTTTTTTTTAAGAAAAGGGAGGAGAGAGAAACATAGATTGGTTCCCTCCCATATACACCCTGATTGGGCACTGAACCCACACCTGGGCATGTGGCCTAACCAGGAATCAAACCAGTGATCTCTCAGAACACCTAACAGCTGAGCCACAAGGACAGGGCTGGCTCTAAGCTTTCTAACAGACAATTCAATGAGAGAAACTTGGACAGAATTTATGGTGTTCTTAAGATTTCTTAAACCTGGTTTTAGATGCCTATATTTGCATATTTATGCATAATCACATATACATTAGTGATCAAGGATTAAAGTGCATTAGTAATTAAGGACTTTATTGAAGTCCATATTATATAAATTCTGAAATAGTTTTTAAAATTTGCAAGGAACCAAATTTTGGTCAACTTCTAAGACCAGTGACTAAAACATTAATACTGTTGAATTGAACAGAACTGTTGACAAGCAAACAGGAAGTGTTACTTTATTCAAAATGATAAAATATAGAACAAAGCTTAAAACCTGTAAGGGTTAAATCAGACACCCTTCTCTTTTTCTGCCAGTTAATCACTGAAAATCTATTAAACTTTTTGGTCAAAATAGTTGTAATATAAACAATCCTATTTTACTAGAACTGGGTTCTCAAGAGCCAGGATTGACTAATGCTTTAACAACTCTGTTCCACATTTCAGATTTGTAACCTATGTCACAACCAATACACAGTATAAGCATTACTTTTAAGTATTTCTCTCATTAGTAATCAAAACACACTTTAATTTCCAGAGTGACACATGAGCCCAAGGAGAGACCACTTCTTAAATTAGAAACAAAACATAAAATTCATACAGGAAGACTGATAAATGTAAGTATATCCAAAATGAAACTTTATATATTAAAAAAAAAACCTTCCCCCAAGGTCAAAAGACACACTGATAGAAAAGGTTTACAGCACATGTTCAGGAAGTGGATTATTATCACAAATATTCTATTTTCTACTTTTATTCAAAATATTATTATAGATATGATATTTATCCATAATTATGATATATTATTTATTCAAGATACTTATTATATCTTGAATAAAAATAGAAAATAAAGTATTTGTCAATCTAATCTTAATTGTAACTATTAATATCTTTGATCAGAATGAGATAAATTAATATATTTCAGAACCAACACAAATTTGACATATTAGCTAAAGCCTAATACTTGGTATCATCAGTAAATATGTAATTTCCATTAGTTTTGAAATACTGAAATTATTTCAAGAACTCTCATCATTACATTCCTTGACCTGCAGCAGTTCAGGAATTATTAAGGTTTGAAGATCACTATACTGAGTTGTATGGGAAATGATGTACAGGCACAATAGGAAAATTTGGTCATTTAAAAGTTTCCAGTTTTATCTGTCAATTTATAATAAAACTCAAAAAGTGAATTCAAGCCAAAAATTTCCCACTTTAAAAATGAAAATCATACTTCACATTACCAAGGCTTATTATTTAACAGTATAATCCACTACTAATGATTTGAACCAAAACACAAAAACTGAGAAAATCTCTAGGACTAGATTTTGCTTCTTTATACAGTAATCAAAATATATATTATTTTTCCATGCACACACTATTTATAAGCAATAATAATTAGTTGTCTGGTAAAGCAAATTTAACCTCGTTACTCCCACATTTTATTAGTTTAGAAATGCTTTGAAAAAAATCTGTATAGAGAAAGAAAGGAAAAAGGGAGGAAAATTGAAAAGGCAGGGAGAAGGGGAAAGAAGAAGAATGGAAAGATAAAGGGACTGGATAAGGGAAGGCTAGGAGAGAGGAAAATACACCTACAAACCTGCAAATGTTCTGATGCAACTTCTCTTGAAGTTCAATGAAGCTGTCATAGCGATCTTTAGTAAACTTTATATTTCGGAGAACTGCTGCTACAGCGTAAGGGCGTATTTTAGCTGTCTGAAATTAATCATGTCATTAGAGATGGTAAATATGAAGGCTTTTCTTTGTAATAACATTTTGTAATAGAAAGTTAGTGGCACTTTTCACATTATCACACATTTTCATTCAAAAAGTATATGTTCATTCTTTAACCAACAAGCAATAAAATATAGTGGTGCCAAGAGACAAAATCACTGTCCTCATGGAATTTCCATTCAGTAAGAAGTCTGAAAATTTACTAAATGAGAAAAAATTAACTTTTAAGTAGTTTGCTCTAGTTGATATTTTTTACCAAAAAAATAATTTTTAATTTTATTATGGTACCACAATTTAAACAATTACATCTCAAATGTATTTTAAATAAATATTTGGATGTTATTTTCCAAAATTATTCATAGAAAACAGATGCTTTGTCCCTTTCACTGCTTGATACAAATTGACAGTTTTTAAAAACTAGAAGGTTAAATATACATCCATTTTAGCAAACGTTCAAAGAAATTATATTTGGCAAAAGATTCAGCTTTGTTCTTTTTTCTACCAACATTACCAATATGTACACAAAAGAAACTGTTTTCAAAGGAAAATAAGACTGATCCTTATTACCTCTTCTGTGATGATCAATTTCTGGATTTCTCCATTAGGCATTACCCGTTTATATACTGGAGCCTTTATCCTAAAATAATATTAAAACAAACTTGCTCATTATTAACCAAAACATTTGATAACTTAAGTACATTCTCTGCTGTGTAAGCAAAATGAACAAGCTGAAGTTACAGCAAATCAAATTTGAACTGAATATAAAAAACAACACACAAACTAACCAACTTTCTAACTTTTAAAGTTCTCCATAAAACCATTAACCACATCCCTATTAAAATATGTTCCCAAAATGAAAGGCTATGACTCAATATTCAGAGAAAGTTTAAATGGCTACAGCCTACCTGAATCACACCCACCAATCATCCCTCTATGCAAGACCTAGAGTTGTGTGCCTGTCCAACAAGGTTTTTTCTAGAAACTTAAACAGAGCTCCTGATAATGACAGGCAAAGAAAAAATAGCCAATTTGGCAAAGGATTTCATGAATATATACCCTTACCTTTCTTTAAAGACTTGAAGTCCTCGAACCAATCCCTCCAGACATAGGAGATCATATCTATTGGCAGGGACGTCAATTTTGTAAAGAATAACATCAGATGCCCCCTCTGCCTTTTCATTACCTTGTTCCTTACTTATAATTTCCTTCTCAGAAGTCTAAAACAAGCACAATAAAATAAAATGTAAACTCTTAGGCAAAAGTAGTTGTCAGCACTATAAAGCAGTAATTACATTACATATATTTTCTGCAACAAAACATAGGTTTATTATAATCTGCAACATAAAGATGACTTTTACTGAGCTCACACATCTAGCATTTTCATACATATTCTCTCTCTCAAAGAGACTAATATATGAAGCCCAAAGAAACTAATTAATATGTGAGGCCCAGACATGCTATGTAATTGTTACTGGTTACACAGCTAGTGATCGTGGGAGCTCTAACTACTATTCAAATTTTCTGATATCTAGTCCAAAGTTCTTACTGAACAACCTCAAACTTAATTTTGAGGTCTAATTAAATTATTGATAGCAACTTAATATAAACAGAAATCTTAGCCAACTTCTCAAGCATACAGATGCTTATTTGCTAGAGACTAATTCCAGCATGTCATAAATGCAAGAAGTTTCATCAAAAGGTTGATGGAACCTTGAAGCTTCAGCAGGGCTGAAGATACATATTATTGCTTACTGGATGGCAGAAGGCATTTCCCCAAACGTGAATTTACATAAATGGCCAGACGACAAGGGCATTTCAATTTACACATTCTTGCCTCCAGCAGGCCAAACAGCAGAATAGCCCAAGGCAGTTCCCCAAAACTGACAAAGCCTACTGTATACCAAACTTTACCTTTTGATAAGTATATCTGCTTTGCTTTAGGGCAATTTGTATTAATAAAGAGCCAGTGGTCTGGGGATTAGAATTTAGCTACTACACCTAAATTTCCTCTGGCTCTCCCATGGATTACAAATTTATATTTCTACTCTCTCTTTATTAATTTATGCCGCAACCCCTTCTCCAAATTCCTGAACACTTCTAGATGCTGGAGACAGACCCCCGGCACTTATTAATGTCAAAAATCTTCCTGTAATATTAGTAAGGCACAACAGGAAAAATAAGGCAAGACAATGAACATTCTTGTCAGCCTGACAATTTTTTAACTTTATAGTGTTATAAAACACTGAATAGATCAATAAGATAAAAGGCTTAAAAAATAAGTCTTTACTACATAATCAATATTAGTAGATATAATTTGTAAATTAATCTATTTTAAAAATATTTCAATCATTATATAATTTAAAAAAACCTAGGAAAATGCTTCATAATCATTTCTATAAACCATTCTTCAAAAATAGATCACTTTACAAGATCAACATGGAATATATACAGTAATGAACTAGGGATGAATTAACATTGGTTGAGTAAGCATGGAGGAAGATGGGGCTGGGGATGGGAGAAGTGAAGGAGGGGGAGCCGAGGCCAAGGAGACAGCAACTCTGGCTGAAGCAGCATTTCCACTGCTTCCCAGCTCCCTTTCCACATGGTTAAGCTGCAATTCGGCACCTCACTGCCCGAGCTCACTCTGATTCTAGAGTTACCTGAGATGGTCTACCCATCTCCACGGCACTAGTCAGATAACATGCGGTGACAGCACACAGAAAGATTTTAAGCAAAGCAACAATCTCAGGACCAGAGCTTAGCCTCTTAACACAGAGAGCACAGGAATCACCATGGCCCACGAGTATAACAAAAATGAACAATAGTAAACATCTGAAAAATGGGCTTAAACACAGAATATTAGAAAAATAAACATCCAATACATACGATTTCATCAAGTTCCAGACCAAATTCAAAACATAGTTCATCAAATTCTTCGTCAGCTATGGGAGGAAAAAAAGGATATTGCTTTAATCTGATCAGCATAAATGAATTGTGTATAAATAAACTGCATTTTATTACTTGCCTTACACCAAGCATACTAAGTATCAGTCATCAAATGTCACCACTTAACAAAAAATGCTTTAACGAAAAATTTAAAAATAAGAAAAACACACAAAACTTTAAAGAGTTGATTCATCTAACATCAACAATGCAGTTAGGTTACCTGAAATGGGAAGTTTACATTTACTTAGAAGAAAAACCCATTAAATTGGGATCAATGTAAAGTAGGCTCCAAATTACAGACCCAATACATTGAAATGTCATATAAATCCTATCCTTCAAAATTCTCTGAGACAGCCTGACAGTTAGCTTTGGAGCCAGGACTATCAGAGTTTGAATTCTGACTATCCCACTTATTAGTTCTGGAGTTTATATAATCTTTCTAATTCCTATGCCTCCTCCATAAAGTGGCTCAAAATGCCTCATCCATAAAGTAGCATTTTTGCAGATATTTATGTATAGCATGCATATTGGAAAATTTTAAGTAAGTTCATGAAAATAATGGGCCTGTCACAGTGCCCTGAAATGTGGTGACTGGACAACAATTAATTGTTCTCTTCCTTATTTTAAGTTATATTCTACTTTACTCTGCTACCTGATACAGCATTTCTAGGGTTTGCTCATTACCAGAAAGTGAACACAAAGCATCATTACCAGTATATTCTAATGAAAAGCTGGCCTTAAGATTCCAGATCCCAATGATAAATCAATTTAACAAACATTTACTGAGCACTTACTTTATACCAAGCACTGTACCAAGTGTCAGGGCTGCAAAGATAAATACAACACAATTCCTACGTTAACTATCTCCTACTCTAGTAAAAACACCAGATGTGTAAATATAGTGAAGTGAAAGGTAAAGAAAGTAATCAGCTCCACTTAGGGTCAGCTAAGGCTTCAAAAAAAAAAAAAGGATGAGTTCATTAGGCAGAGATTGTAAGGAGACAACGGCATGTCAAATTTGGAAAGTTCAATATAGATGAAGCATAAAGTTCATGTCAAGAAGAGATAGGATGGAACAAGTACTGGTAGACAGAAGTGATGTCATAACACCCCCAGGGACATGCTTTCAGTCCCGCCTGCTGACGATGGGGAGTTACACTGCAGGATTTTCAGCTGAGCAAAAGCATCCTTCTTTAGATCTGCATTTTAAAGAATGGTGGAAGGGTGGCTGAGGGATTGGGCCAGGGACGCTACTACAATAGTACAGGTAAGACTGGGAGGACTTGATTAAAGCAGCAATTTGTTAAAAAGAAAAAAAAAACAAAAAACCTGTGAACTGCAATAAATCAAAGTATGTCTGTAATACTTCCAGCTGTATTTCACAAGTGTAGAAGCAAAAAAAAAAAAACAGCAAGAAAATAGTGATTAATAATTCCCTGTAAGAAAATGACACACCTAAGTAAATACATCTTAGAGGTTTGTATGATGTACACAGGTAGCTCTGACAGTATTGCCAGCAATTACAACAAAGCAGAACAGAACCAGAACTGAAGAACAGTGACAAGAAATCCATTAGCCGAAACTGGTTTGGCTCAGTGGATAGAGTATTGGCCTGGGGACTCAAGGGTCCCGGTTCGATTCCGGTCAAGGGCGTGTACCTTGGTTGCGGGCATATCCCCAGTAGGGGGTGTGCAAGAGGCAGCTGATCGATGACTCTCTCATCGATGTTTTTAACTATCTCTCTCCCTTCCTCTCTGTACAAAATCAATAAAAATATATTTTTTTAAAAAAAACATCATATAATAAATAATCTCACCACTGTTTGTAACCTGGATTATTTCTCTTCCATAGATGAATACCTAAGAAGATCAATGTCATGAACAAATATTTGCCCACATACCACCTTATCTAAATCTAGTATAACATATACCATTAGTGTGAACAAAAGGATGGGTAAGAAATATAAATAAGTGTATTAGAAAATAAAATGTATAGGGAGTTGGAGCCAAGTTTAGAGGACAGGAGTATTACCTCTATTTTTAGGGACTTACGGCAGAAGTCTAGGGAGAATAACACTTCAAGACCCACATAGTACCTAAAAGTGCACCTTTAAAACTGTTTTTAAAAGCTAACTTTATTTTGCGCTGGCCTGTGTATCTCAGTGGGTTGAAGCATTGAACTATGCACAGAAAGGTTGCTGTTTGATTCCTAGACAGGGCAATTCCCAGGCTGCAGGTTCGATCCCAGTGAGGTGTATATGGAAGGCAAACTAGTGATGTTTCTCACATGGATGTTTCTCTCGCTCTCTTTCTATACTCTCTCTATTAAAAACTCAATAAAAATATTTTTATTAACTTTATTTTCACAGTAATATATTATTCTAGGAAGGAGTACCTGTTAAACCCACTAGGGCTATGTTACCATATTGTGCTCTAAAACTAAAGATAACACAAATCAAATTGCTACATACAACCTTTATACGAACTGATAATCATAGGGTGGACAGATGTAATTTCAACTGCTACATCTATGGTGGCTGATAACTGTACTTAATATTCCCCCCTTTTAAAAAAAAAATGGTTTTATCTTTAGAACTGTAAAGAGATGAAGAACAGCATGAAGACTTAATAGCATGGACTAGTCGTTCAGGCCTCAGCTCAAACGATGCCACCCTGTCTAATGTTATTATATGCACAGTATCTTTTTTTGTTTGTTTGTTTCCTTGTCAGCATTTACTCTTCTCCGAAGACCATTTTACTTATGTTCTACTTAATTATTATTTGCCTCCGTCATCAGAAAGTGTGAGTGGGCCCTGGCCGGTTTGGCTCAGTGGATAGAGCGTCAGCCTGCAAACTGAAGGGACCCGGGTTCAATTCCGGTCAAGGCCACATCGCCAGTGGTGGGTGTGCAGGAGGCAGCTGATGGATGTTTCTCTATCATCGATGTTTCTAACTCTCTATCCTTTACCTTCCTCTCTGCAAAAACTCAAAAATAAATTTCTTTGGTAAAGTAAATAAAAAGAAAGTGTGAGTGGGCCTTTTGGGTCCCCTGCACCGCTGTATTCTCATAGCGCTTAGAAGAGGGCCTAGCACACAACCACGCACTCGGCAAACACTAACAACAACAAAAACAGATGCCGCCAGCCCTCCCGCTCAAACTTCAACTTCCCCTCATGAACGATCCCGTGCTCCCCTTCTTATTACACTCGGGATGCACCCCGGGCTTCATTCCTGTGCGCCCCCCGGCCCCAGGGAGTAGCGCTCCAGCCGAGGACGCCGAATGAATGGCACGGCGAGCCCGACACGTGTGGGCGAGGCAAAGACGGCCGCTTCGGAGGTTACATCAGTCCGCGCCGCCACTCCGGCCGTCAGCACCACCCACCCGCGACCGCCGGATGCCAAAATGTGTCAAACGGCACGAACATCGCCACGAAGCCCTTTAGGAGAGGGGTCCCGGCCTCCCAGCTGTGGGACGGCACTCACTGTAGGTCCGGCCGAGGGCTTGGAAGAGCAAATCGCGCTTCACGCTGACAGTCGGCATGGTGAGTCGGATCCACTGCGCCTGCGCAGCGAGCGGTCCAGGCCTCAGGGGCCCCAGGTGCGCGGAACCCAGCCCCTCCCTTACGGGCTGTCTTAAATATTGCCTATCTTCTTCTAACAGCTTCTGCTTTTTTTTTTTTCATCTTAAATCAAATAAACTGCCACTACTGAGCTTATTCAAACGAGAGTCTTTGTATGAATAACCTACAGGCTTGTGAAGGAGACATAATTGGATAAAATAGGCTACTATTTGGTGGGCAATATACTAGACAGACGGCAAAAGCCCTCACGCCCCTAATGCTCTGCAAACTGGATGGGCGGCGCAAGAGGCGTGGATGCATAGCAGGGGGCGGGGAATCCGGGCAGGGGGTGGGGGGAACGCGACTGGGCGGAGTCTGAGGCAGCGGGAGAATCTATCCGCAGCCCTTATTTAGCCTTTATTTCATTATTAAATAGTCTCCCTCGTAAACCTCTAAGTCCTACCGCTGTGCTTTGTTTCAACCTTACAGCAGCCTTATAGCGGAGGCTATATTACTCAGTGATGCCTCCTGGCCAATGCTATGCTCAGTCCTCTACCGGCCTCAGCAGATTTCCTCATAACCACTCTAAGTGGAATGGGCCGAATAAGCACACCCTGCCCCAAAGATATTACCCCCCAAACCCTAGAACCTTCAAAGGTTGCCTGAAGTGGGAGTCTTTTTTTTGCAGGTTAAGGATTTCAAAATGGTGAGTGTCCTGGATGATTGGAAACGGTCCTAAATAAAACCATATAAGTCCTTATAAGAAGGGGGCTGTGGGCAATCTGACAAACAGAAGAGAGGCAGACCATGTAACCAGAAGGCAGAGCTTGGGCTGATGCAGCCGCAAGGCAAGTAATGCCGGGAGGCACCAGGAACCGAAAAGGCAAGGGAGATTCTCCCCCAGCCCTCTGCAGCCGGTCTGCAGAGTCTAGACTGATTTTGACCCAGTGAAACTGAATTTGAACTTCTGGTCTGCAGAACTATGAGAATATATTTCTTGGTAATTTTGTGGTAATTTGTTACAAGCAACCATGGGGAACTTAGACACTGGGGTAGTACTACCATTGGAACATGAATTTTAGGGGAATTTAGGCAGGCTTAGGGAATTTTTAGAATTGGGGTCCATGGAAAAACACAAGGCTACTGACGGAGAGAAGGTACATTTCCATAGCACAAGGAAGCCAGGCGTAGCTATATTTCCATAAGACAAAGAAACTTGAAGTAGCCAAAATAGCTCGGTATTTACAAAATAAAGAAAGAGGGGGAAAAGCCCAGAGGGCATAGGAGGACAATGAGGAAGGAGGGCCTCCGAAGTTACTATAATAACCAATGGAAAGGGAATATTGACCAAACAGAGGGGATATCTGGGCACAGGAACTGCAGCCTTTATAAACTGTGGAAACAGGAAGTTGATGGGACTCTTTCCTCCCCCCCCTCCCCTCCCCAGGTGGTAGTCTGTGCTGTGAGAATCTTTCCCTTTCCTCACATGAGAGTCTGTATTCTTCAATAAATTTCCACCTTTGCTATACCACCTTCTGTCTGTGGATTCATTCTTTTACTTCGGCGAACAAAGAATCTGGGTTCCAGTCCAAAAATTTAATATCAATCCCCATTATCCCCATTTCACAGATGATGAACCTGTGGCACATGATGAACACAGACTGAATCACCCAACTCTCCAGGCAGAGCTGAGGCAGTTCATGTATGAGGGGGAGGAGAGGAAGAAAGGGAGCGGGGACTTGCTCTTTATTTCTCTACCTTACAGTGAATTGGCCTTCAAGCTGGATTGGATTTAGGCCTCCCTGATGGCCAGTCAAGTAGTTTTCCACTATATCAGTAGCTCCCCTCCATAGCTGCAGGCTGGTTCTTCCCAGTGCCCAGAATAACAGAGTGGCAGAGTCCTCATTAATGACATATACATTTCCAATGCTAAATAACACGCTATGTCCTCAAATTGGTACAGTGCTCAATTAATTAAGGACTTTCGGAATTATTGCATGCAGACCTGCTCTCCTCTGAGCACTCCAAGTGTTCTGTAACTGCTGAAACTCAGTTTCTTTCTCTTTAGTGTAGGGATAATAATACATGCATTAAAGAATTATTGTAAGGATTAGAAATAATATTCATAAATGTCTAATATAGTTCTTGTGTCATAGCTCCTAGAAAGTGGGCAGCTGTCATTATCTGTTCTCCTAGTCAGTTTCCTGCTATTCTTAGACTACCCAGAGGCATCCTGTTCTAATCTCCCACATGCCCCATCTCATCCTTTCTGCTTTTCATCCTTGAACACACACAGGTGCTCTGAGCCTTCTCTATGACTAGCTATACTAATGGAAAAGGAAAAACTAGGCCACCAGTGCTCATCACAAAGAGAACTGGCTGACTGATAGGAAAGATACTTGGAAAATGTTGAGATAGACTATTGCAAAATGTGGGTAGGTGCTTCTCTCATCTAATTTTAGGGCCAGCCTGAGAGCAAGAATGACATGGCAGCATTTCCTGGAAATGAAAGATAGGCTAGCTAATAAACACAAAAAAATTCTCCCTGCATTAGAAAGTAGAGGTGCAAATTAAAATTATAAAGAAATACCCCTGGCTGGGTAACTCAGTTGGTTAGAGCATTGTCCAGAGATGCTTACGTTGCAGGTTTGATCCCCAGTCAGGGCACAAATGAAAAATAACCAATGAATACATAAATAAATGGGACAAGAAATATCTCTCTCCCCCTCAACCCCTCCTCTCTCTAAAACTTATCTACCTATACTAATAATAGACAAATATGTAGATTGATCATCCCTCTGTAATGCCCACAGCCAATCAGGAGTGAGTATGCAAATTAACCCAACAAAGATGGTGGGCCTGTGGGCAGCATGCACATATGCACAGGTGCCGAGCAGCTGGGATCCTGGGGTTGCCAATGGAGTATCCAGTCCTGTCATCCCGGCCTTGGGGGCGGCTGAAGTTCTCAGTCCTTTTGGTTTCTGCAGCCCCTGGATCAGAAGCAGAAACCAAGAGCTTGGGGAGCACCAGGAATGCTGGGAATCATAGTTCTGGTGGCAGATGTGTTTCGAGATCTCCTAGACACTAGAGCAAAAGTGAGCCTGGAGCAAGTTACTGTTGTGGGTGGGGGATGAAGGGAAAGCAAAGATGAGAGGCATAAGTAAAGTCGGAGTGTCAAGGAAAAATTAAAAGGAAGATATCATGCAACTTCTAGGAAATATTCACCAATGGAGCAAAGAATACTTAATATTTGATTTTGTTTTAAGTTATTTTTTCATAAAGAACTTTTTTTTTTCAAAGTTTTAATCTAATGGTTTAGACTCTAACCTATAAATAATTTCCTTTAGAAATTCTGCATTTTAGGTTATGGTTTTTCTTTTGAAGGTTCAAAAATGGCTTTATTTCATTATGCTCCCAAGTATAGGTTATGGTTGCTTTTTAAAAAATATTATTGATTAATTTTAGAGAGAAAAGGGGAGAGAGAGCCGAAACCGGTTTGGCTCAATGGATAGAGCATCGGCTTGGGGACTGAAAGGTCCCAGGTTCGATTCCAGACAAGGGCATGTACCTTGGTGGCGGGCATATCCCCAGTTGGGGGTGTGCAAGAGGCGGCTGATCAATGACTCTCTCTCATCGATGTTTCTGTACAAAATCAGTAAAATATATTTTTTAAAAAAAGAAAAAGAAAAGGGGAGAGAGAGAGAAACATTGATTTGTTGTTCCACCATTCATGCATTTGTTGGTTACTCCTTGTATGTACCTTGGCTGGAGGATTAAACGCGTAACCTTGGCGTATCAGGATGATGCTCTAACCAACTGACATACACAGTAGGGGCTTTAAGCAAGTTTTGAACGTGCCAGGTAATGGCACCACTTTAGAGCCTTTGAACCAGCAGTTCTCTCTACTAGAATGTCCTTGCCCCTAGATTCATGCAGGGCTAGCCCCCTCAGCTCCTATAAGAATTTTCAGAAAGACCTTTTTAAAATAGATACTTTGATAGAAAAAAAATGGACAAAGGAAATAAATAATTCATTAAATAATCAGAAAATAAAAAAAATGAGGAGTGGAAGAGAAATGCAAATTAAAACAACAATGAAAGGAGGGCTATTTTCTCCATAGAGACAGGCAGAGATTAAAGAAATAAATGATATCACCTTGTGTTGGCAAAGTTTAGGAAGCTGGCACTCTTAAACACACCTTTCATGGTTATAAATAGCAGTTTGGCAATATGAGTCAAATCCCTTTGAACAAACTGATGGTTTGCCAGATGATTGGAGGGTGGGGTGAAAAAGGTGAAAGAGATTAAGAAGTACAAATTGGTGGTTAGAAAATAGTCATGGGAATGTAAAGTTTGGCATAGGGAATATAGTCAATTATCCTATATAATAAAAGGCTAATATGCAAATTGACCCCTGGACCAGGAGTTTGACTAGGGGACTGGGCCAGCCAACCATCTGCCTGTGGCCCCTCCCCCATGTACCCGCACCCATGATCGCTCCTCCCCACCCAGATCAGGGGTGGAGCTGGCCATACCCCACCAGTACACGAATTTGTGCTCTAGGCCTCTAGTATTGTAATAACTATGTATGGTGCCAGATGGGTATAACACTTATCAAGGGATCACTTCACAAGTTATATAAATGTCTAATCACTATGCTGTATACATGAATCTAATATAATATTGAATGTCAACTATAATTGAAATTTTTTTTTAAATTTTGAAAATATATATTCTCTTTGATCCTGAAATTCTACTCTTGGAATTATTCTAAGGAAATAGGCAAGGATTTTTCTGTCTGGAAATAATCTACATGTCCAACAAAATGGGACTTGATTAAATAAAGCCTGGTTTCTCATATAATAGAATACTATGCAAATATTTAAAATGATAATTGAGAATGACGTTTTAGTGAATTAAAAAAAAAAAAGCCCACAACTTATTGTGTGAAGGTGATACTGGACAATATACTTATAATGATT